GGGACGCGCCCTGGCCTTGACGAGCGCGCGCGATTTCCTCACGCAGCTGGCGCCCGAGCCCCCAGAGGACCTCTCGCACGACTTCTCAGAATATGTTCGCCGCCGCACTCTAGCTTGTGGTCGCCGTACTTTGAAAGTTTATGATGGCGACGGTGAGTCTGGAGCGCTTGCCATGGAGCTGAAGCCCGCCTTCCAGTCGTACTTGGAATATGCCGACATCGCGTTCCCTTTGTGCACGGATTTCGCCACGCTCAAGCACGAGCTCTTTGGCGCCATCCAACAGTTCCAGGGCGAGGCGAAGATGAAACTGATCTCCGACAACATGATCGAGACCAGGAAGAGCTTCTTCAAGTGCGAGACGGCTGCGCTTGGACAGTGCGAGATCACCGCGGTCAGCAACCTTCGCGAGGCTGTCAAGGACGCTCTTGGATTAAAGATGTTCGTCGAGGAGGTGGACGGCTTCAGTCACGCAGCGGTTCAGACACGCATTAAGCGCTTGATTGGCGACCGCGAGACGATCATCCAAGCTGGCGAAGCCCTGGCGCCGTGGGCTTCGGATGACGCCGTCAACCTGTGCGACGCGACGAAGCATGCCATCGCGATGCTCACCGAGCACGTGGCCTTCGATGGTGGAGAGAAGCCCTCGACGATCATCTTGGCGCTGGAGGGGGCCGCGCTGGCCGTCGTGGATGCTCGCGAGAAGGCGGCAGCCATTTTCGCCGCCGTTCTCGATCCCGCGAGCGCTGCGCACCTCCAGGTCGCGGACGCCGCCGAGAAGGAGGAGGAGAAGCCCATCGCGACTTAGGCCGACGAGCTGAAGGCCTTGCCCCAGGCCACCACGGCGCCCTGCTGGAAGACGGACGCCACCAAGAAGAGCGAGCTGAGCCAGGTTCGCGACGCGCGGGGCCGCTCGAAGATCGAGGCCGAGACCTTGTTCAGCAGGGCCTACGAGTTGGCGCGGGACAGCTGGCCGAATGGCGACTGGAGGGGCGCGGGGGGGGATTGCGCGGCTCACTTCCGAAGACGACGGCGGCGACGACGCCGGCGACGGCGACGATGGGGCCGCCGACGGGGGCGGCGACAACGACGACGACGAGCGGCAACGACCGCGACAATGCCGATCAGGACGACACCGGGACAAAGGACGGCAACGATGGTGACGACGAGCGTCGATTTTGGAAGTGAGTCTTCCGGCCCCCGCCTGTGGCCCCCCCCCCTCCTCCCCCCCCTTCTCCTCCTCCTCATGATCCTCCCTCATCTCCCTTCTCCTCGCCCTTGCTCCTCCCTTTTCCCCCCTCCTGGATCCGTCCGCGTCAGTTTCTCCACCACTTCTTCACCCCCCCCTCCCCCCCCCCTCCCCCTGCCCCTCCCCTCTCCTCCCCCCCCCCCGCCTTCCCCTCCCAGCCCTCCTCCGCGGGGGTGGGGATCGCCCGGCGAGCTGCTGAAGTCGCGCCAGCGCGCTGGCGCGCCCCTCCCGCTCGATGACGAGCTCAAGACGAAGGCCATGGAGTCGGCGTTCACCGCCTTCGAGGGCAGCGCGTTTTCGGCGTCGGCCTGGGAGGATCGCGGCGACGGCCGCGTCGAAATGGTCGCCGCGCTCAAGAAGGCGAAGTACCGCGTCGCCAGGGTCCAGGAACTGGAGATCTTCAGCATCAAGCGCTCGGCCGAGAACCTCCTGAAGTTCAAGCACTGATGTGCTGGGCGCCTGCTGACAAGATCCTGCAGGCCGCGGCCTGCAGGCCTCCTCGAGCTCGCCGATTTCGGCGTGCTGTCGACATGCAATCGTCTCTCCTCCTGCTCCTTGTCGTCGTTGCGACCGCTGTCGCCGTCGACGTCTTCTTAACCCTCCACTTATCGTATTCGTCCTCCCACTCCCAGTTATTCCCGACTTCCTCCGTCTTCTCGTCTCACTCGGTGTCTTCCTTCTCGTTTTCGTCGCCCTCCCATTGCCATCCCCAGTCTTCGCCCCCTGCCCTTCCTCCTTTGCTTCTCGCCGTTCGTCCTCGTTCTCCCCGCCCCCCTGTCTCCACCGCCCCTGCCCCCCCTTCGCCGAGGCCCCCCTCCTCTGCCCAGCGCCCTGGAAGAGGCGCGGGAGGTCATTGGGAGGGGGGGGGGGGGGGATAGGGATGAAGAGAATTCGGAGGAAGAAGGGACTGGGACACGCTAGGGAGACGATTTCGGCGAGAACCAAGGAAAGAAACGAGGAGGAATCATGCGAATAAAGGAGGACGAAGGAGAAACTGAGAATATTGTTTTGGCTTGCAACTGGCGCGCGCGCGCGACCGCGGAGCCCATCCTACACTCCAGAGAAATTTTCACAGTCAAAGTTCGACAATATTGAATTCGCTCTGCACTCCGTCGCCCAAAAAACGATTGGCGCGATACCTTGGCAAATTTGCCGAAGACATTTTTCCGATACCCGGGTGACAAGGGACAATGTCCCCGAACCTTTGCGCCGATATTCATAATGACACATGTTAATTCTACCTGCGCTTACAGTCCTTAGCCCCGGGCGAACGCCATAATCGTCACAGCCTGTCTCTTCGCAGCACCTGCGGCGACAAATTCACGAATCGACTCTGCATCAGTCTTGACGCTTGCCCAAGAGAGTCCGATGGGTGCCCTTTCAGTGAAAAGAACGGCCGTGGAGCCTCTGATGGAGCCTGGGGGTCGATTGCCCAAGAGCCTCGTGGGAGCCTTACCGATGGTAGTGGGGCCCTCGTCCTGGTGGATGCATCGATCGAAGTCCAGTGTCGTCACAGGCGGGGCCACCATTCGAGCTTGGATTGGTTCCCACTGGAAGCTCGAGGGGGCCCGTGGTTACCATACTTCTGGTTGTGGATGCTCGAGCCAACCCGAGGTGCCAGCAGTAATGTGGCATCCGAGTAAGTATATCAGTGACCAAAGGACCTGATTCCCGATATGACTGTCGTGGCGCAGCCCAGGGACCCCCGTAGAACCACTCGCGGGTGCGAAGCGGGGGGGAGGGGGCGTTTCGCGCCATCTGGCAGCACACCAGGTTCGCAGGGGGGCCCACCCTGTGTTCAATATGCGCCGTGCAGGGATATGTGAGGCCCGTACTTGTACATTATCCTGGTGGTATGGCGTCCAAGGAAGAGGGGGGAAGAGGAGGAGGGAGGCGTGATGACTGGAGGCCAGAGTGCTCCATTCAAAACGAAAACCCAGAGCAGGAGGGCGGGGAACAATACTGCCAGCATTGGTGTTTCACCCTTTTGCTTCTTCTTGCTCTTCGAGCCGGCAGTGCACGCGGGTTCGGAAGAGCAACCATTTTCTGTCAGGTGTTGTGCTCGTTTGCCCACGAGGAGGCCGACGTTGCCTGGGTCAGGGCCCAAGGCGAGGCTTCGACGCGTCAGTCCGGCCCCCTCGAGGGGAACTCGGATTCAGACGCGTCCGATGTTTTTTCGGCCCCGTTCGATGGGTCGAGGCCGCTTCACTTGAGGCCCGTCCCCAACAACAATCTCCTGCCTCCCTCAGCTCACTCCCACTTCCACCACCCGTGTTCTCAGGGCTCGATTGTCGCACGCGATGTTCGAGCCGATTCTACTTTCGACGGAGGAGGAGAAGAAGGAGGATGGAAAAGGAGGGAAAGTAGGAGGGGGGAGGAGGAAAAGGAGGAGGAGGAGGAGGAGGAGAAGGAGGAGGAGGAGGACAGGTGGAGAAGTAGGTGGCGACGGAGTGGGCAGAGGATGATGCAAAGGAAAGGAGGGGTACGAATTTGAGGAGGGGAAGCAGGACCAGGAGCAGGAGGAGGAACCAATGATGATAATTATTCGGGAGGACCGGAAGAAAGGGGGAATAGGAGGATGATCAGAAGGAGGTTGATTGTCGCGTCTTCAATACACGTGAGTTGCAGCCGCGATTTCGTCTCGGAATGGTGCTCTCGCTTGAGCGCCGCGCAAGAGACGTCCTTCATTGGGAGTGGTGTTGTCGCTTGAGCGTGGGCTACATTACATCGCTGTAATGGAATGGTGTTGTCGCCAGGGCATTGGCCGAATCCCTGCTTTAAGTTGTGCTCTCATCTCAGCGCTGGCCACGTGCCTGAAAGGGTATTCATAGTGCTGCCGCTCGGGCGATGGTCACATCCCTTACTGGGAATGATGCTCTCGCCGCAGTGCCGCCCATCATAAAAGCCCGTGGAATTTAGAGTCTCCATCTTGAAGGGGTTGGTTGGTTGTCTACTGCCCAGGACTTACTTACCTTGATCTCTTCACGACACAGTAGGGTTGCCCCTACCTTCCACTCATTCCATGGCCTCCCTCCAAGATATGTCCCCCCCTTGGGCGTGGTGTGGTCGGTGGGTGGCGGCGGTGGGCAGAGTGGAGATGGGCCCCTTCTTTTGTCCCCCCTGAGGGTCCGTGTGTATGGTGTGGTTGGTGCCCCGAAGTGTTCCCTGAACCCTGGGACCCATCCCATCTAGGGGGTAGGGGTGGGGGGGGCGTGGGAACCATCGAAAGAGCGTTTTCTGCTGTTGCTGGCAGGGCCTCCCCCCAGTTCACAAACCGGGTGGGGGAGGGGGGGAGGAGCGAGGAAGAGGAGGAGGGAGGAGGGACAGGAGGAGGAGGAGGAGGAGGAGGAGGAGGAGGAGGGAGCAGAACCCCCCCCTCCCTGGTTCGAACCGGGGTGCGGGGGGGTAGCATCGCCCCCCCCCTCCAGAGACTCTGCGTCGCTGTAGGAGAAGCAAGCTTGCTAAAGCCTTCTATCTTGGCTTATTCTCTTGCACAGCTGTACTCTAGAGCTCGGACCTCTTTATTTTCGTTCGTCGTCGTCGTTCGTTCGTTCGTCGTTCGTCCTCCCCCCCCACGGCCACAAAAGTAAATTCCCGGAGGACGGAGGCGAAAGCCTCCTGTCTCTTGCAGCTCCTTGGTGCAAGAGGCAAGAGCCAGGGCACGCGTGCCACTTGTATCTTGGTTTATTTTCCCATGTTCCAACATCAAGTGCCAGTTTGAGCCTACTAGGTGGTAGCTGCTTTATAACTAGAGATAGACCCACATGATGCACTGTATGGGCTTCTTCCACTCATCATGAGTTCATGCAGGTTGCACACATATCTTACTCATGCCGATTGGTATGCTATGTACATATGTGTGAGTGTGTGCGAACATCTCACTACATCTCAGATATCTCAGTGGCCCTGGTGCCCACCCTCCCACCCCGAGCGGGAGGTCGACCGCTTCTGTTACCGCTCAGCAACCAGCACGTGTGAAGCATCTCCAGAGCTCCACATCGCAGCGTGCCTGATCAGGGCACCGTCGCGCAGAGGAAACAATTGTGGGCTGCTGCTCCTCCTCCTCCTCCTCCTCCTCCTCCTCCTCCTCCTCCTCCTTTCTTCGCCGAGCCGCCGCCTCGATGCTGCGCTGGTCTCCCGTGCTCCATCGACGAGACACTTGGCAAGGTGCGAGTACCGCCCATCAGCGGCGCAGCACGCTGCGCCCATCGACGCCATGGCCCCAGCGTCGTCGCCGTGCGAGTACCGCCCATCAGCGGCGCAGCCTATCGACGCCATGGCCCCAGCGTCGTCGATGACGATGTCGCCGACCATGGATTGCACATGGTTCCGTGAAACACCACGGGCCACGTCGCAGTCCAGATCAGAGCAACATTCTTGCTCGCCCACCAGATGATTGAACCAAAGGTGGGCAACAGATAAAGATCGAAGCTCCTCGTGCCAGACGCGGAACACTGCACTGCGCTCAAACCTGCCTCCGAATTCGATGTGTTCCGCGGCACGTTTGACAGAACCACCTTTACGTTCTTGGGTGAAGCACTCGATTATGCTACAATTATTTAATTGAACGCCCCTGAGGGGGCAGACACCGCCGCCCCACTTTTTTGGGAACCCGGAGTTTCCGTGCGGGGGGATGCTCCTGAGGTTCTCTTGGGGCCTTCTAGTTGGATTCTTGGAGGCCTTGGAGGCTAAGAACGACTGGATGACTTGCGATGTGATGCTGTATGGAAAAAAGACGCCGAATCGAACCTTTTTTGGTTCGAGCTCACACGTTCGAGGGGTCCATTCGAGGGGTCCGAGGGCCGGTGGACTCGGATTAGGGCCCAACATGGCGCCGGGAGGGCGCGAAAAGGGCCCCAAAACGGCCCAGACGGGCACTGGATGGTGTCGAAAACAGCAGATAAAACCGAGACGGGATACGGAGAGAGACCAAGGGGCGGTCACACTTAGTTCTGGGGCCTCAGAGGCACCTCCGGGGACCCCCGTTGGCGCGCCGAAAACGACCCGGGAGGGCGCCAAAAGGGCGGTCAGATGGTCCAAGATGGGTGCGGGAGACCGTGAGGACGGCCCGGGAGGCTTTGGAGATAGACCAAAGTGGCAGGGGAGGCTCCAAGAGTGCCGCAGGAGGCTGCAAGAGAGCTCCAAAAGGCGCACAGAAGGAAGCGGAAACGGCAGAAATCAGCAATTTCCTATAGGTTTTTGAAGGTTTTTGGTTTCTGCATGTTTTCGGCAGAATTTGCTTCGAAGAGGTCTCGGAAGGGGTCCGAAACGGCCCAAAAGGGGCCCAATAAGGGCCCAAAGGAGCTCCAGAGGGCTCAAAGGTGGTCCGAAAACTGCCCCAGAGGGTGTCCGGAGAGCGCCCAAACAGCGCCCGGAGGCGCGCGGAAGCTTTCCGTGCGAAGTCCTGCTGCAAGTGAAGACAAAATGGCCGCCAACGGACGTCCATTGCGCAGCTGGGGCCCCCGGGCCGGCGGAATGAGCAGCCCGCGGGGAGGACCCCAGGAGGGGTTGCGAAGCCTCTCAGGAAAGGAATTGGTACGAGGAGTGCATGAGCAAGGAGACGAAGGGGGCAGAAATCGTGCAGACCATGCGGCGGGGATCCCACACGCCGTTCCCGGTGGGGCGGCAATTATTTAATCGCTTCGCTCATTCCGCCGGCCCATAATGTCGCACCGTGGTCGCCTGTCCGAGTGGTCGTTTGCAGTGTGGAGCTGCGGCGTCGGGAGCTGTGTAGTGTTGGGGGCGGTCTTGGGGCCCTCTTGGGCCGTCCTGGAGGCTTCTGGGGCCGTCTTGGAGCCGCCTTGGGCCGTCTTCGGGCCCTCTTGGGGGCCTCTGGGGCCCTCTTGGGGCGATCTTGGAGGCCTCGTGAGCCGTTTAGGGGCGTCGGGGAACCGAAAAGGTTAAAACGCCCAAATCTGTCCAACACCAAAGGAAAAGCACAGGTTTTTGCCTCTTGGGGCCCTCTTGGGAGTTCTCTTGGAGGCCTCTTGGGGCATCTTGGAGGCTTCTTGGGCCATCTTGGAGACGTCTTGGGCCGTCTGGAGGCCATCTTGGGCGTCGTGGAGCGATCTTCGGGCGTCTCGGACCTCTCTTGGACCGTGTTGGGGGCGTTCTTGGGGCCCTCTTGGGCCGTCTTGGAGGCCTCTGGGGCCGTCTTGGAGCCGTCTTAGGCCGTCTTGGGACCCTTTTGAGGGCCTCTTGGGCCCTCTTGGGCGATCTTGGAGGCCTCTTGAGCCGTTTAGGGGCGTCGGGGATCCGAAAAGGTTAAAACGCCCAAGTCTGTCCAAAACCTAAGAAAAAACATGGATTCTTGCCTCTTGGGGCCCTCTTGGGAGTGCTCCTGGAGGTCTCTTGGGGCATCTTGGAGGCTTGTTGGGTCATCTTGGAGACGTCTTGGGCCGTCTGGAGGCCATCTTGGGCGCCGTGGAGCGATCTTCGGGCGTCTCGGACCTCTCTTGGATTGTGTTGGGGGCCTCTTGGGGCCCTCTTGGGGCGATCCTGGATCTGGGGGAGTGTCCCGGGCTCCGCCCGGGCTCCGCCCGGGGTACTTTTGATCCAGGGACCCCCAGGGGCCGCCCCACGCGCGCGAACTAGAAATATTGTTTACCAGTTACCGGAGATCTTAGCACGCCTCTGGCCCGTTGGGCCGGCGAATTCTTGGCATTACCGGCGACGTGCAATTCGTGATGGTGCTTCGGCTTGAGCTTGTCAGCCCCATACGCAGCTTGAAAAACGAGCATGTGTCTGCTGGCAGCTCGATCGTCTCGACAGGATCGAACCTCTCACTGCCGAATGCCTTGCGTTGCATCGTCAAGGTAAGAAGATCGGGAACAGCGCGAAACGAAGACACCTGCACAGTCAGCGATGGGTCTCGCGCAAGCGTGCTGTCAACATACTACTACCGAATCGAAGGCACGGCGCTCAACATCTCACTCGCTTGGCATTTGAACGCGCCATCGCCATCGTAGGAAACGTTCTGATGGTATGCGTCGAACGGGCGAGAAAAATCGATTGTCGAGAACTGCGTCGGGACATTCCAATGGGCCGTTGAAACGGTGCACATAGTCGCATGGGAACGGGCGGGACCATGATGAGAGAACAGATTGAACACCTCAAGAACACCAAAACCATTCGAAACCAATCTATGCATGGGGCCGTACATTGCCTGGTCAGCAGGGCGCATGCACCGACAAAGGGCGGCGTTGCCCAGCACGCCTGCCTCCACGCAGTGTGTCCCAGCCGCCGTTTCCATTTTTTGGAGCGCAGTCTTACCAGTCGTAGGTTCGGCCGCTGCAAGCATGTCGAACTTCTCCCGCACGTGCTCGTTCGTTGTCGGAATAAAGTGAGCACGGTCTGCGCAAGAAATATTCACTAGGATGCCCGATGCGTCATGCACAGCAATCTCTTGATGAACGCGACACAACATTCAGGCAACCCAGAGTACATGGCACACCCGGGCTGCATCCAAAGGTGCCCCAAATTTGCTGCAGCGCTGGCGCATCACCGGTGGTGGCATGCATCCCAAAGAGCAGCGCCCTCGGCGCGCAGCCTGGTAATTGCAGAGTGATGCCAGCCTCGCGGATGCTCGGAGACCCCAGAAGCATCCGCTCCAACAGCGTCGCAGCAATCGTCGGCCATCCGCCCGCCACATCTTCTCCAACTGGGGAGCGAAGGAGCCCTATCGGGATCCACGCCTCCCTGTGACACTGTAGAGCGCTGGGCAACTCGAGGACATTGATACAATAAGCTTGCGTCTTCCTAGAGCTGTTGATTTTCCTGGCAGCGCCTGGGGCCAATCCGTCGCAGTACAAAACCACATGCCAAGGGTTGTCGTAGCTGTTGCCGCATTGCCCCAGGGCTTGCAACACGAGCGGGGCAGACGCGTTTGACTGCAAATGATGGGCGTTGATCTTGTCGCAGCGTGCAACCTCCCACGCAAATGTGCCTGGAGACTTTGTTGTTGGGTCATGCGTCGAAAGCTCAATCCTCTGTCTCAGCGGGCCATATTCTTCCTCCAGCGCCCTCTCAATCGAAGCAGGGTCAAGGACATCCGCGGCTCCATCGGGATCGGCGGCCGAGCGCTTCGCGAGGCGACGAAATGCCTTATTTGAAACACCACTCTCAAGTGAAACCAACATCTTTCTCTTCTCAGCGGGGGCCAACATCGGGCGAGCTTGCCTGAGTCAAGACCCTACGGTACGCAGGCCTGGCAAAATGCCAACGATGAAATAAAGGGACGGAGGGGGGAGGATAGGGTGGCGACGATGGAGGAGGAGGAGGAGGACAGGGACAGAGGGGCAGATGGGGGGAGGGGGATAGGGAGCATGCGCGAATCGCTAGCGGTCGGCTAACCGCGTGGAAAAAGGGGGGGGGGCTTGGTAGGGGGGGATGGAGGGGAGGATGAGGTCGAATAACAATGTTTCCAGCACGGGGGGGCGGCAGGGGAGGGAGGAGGAGGAGGAGGAGGGAGGAGAGGAGGAGGAGGAGGAGGAGGAGGAGGATGAGGAGGAGGAGGATGAGGAGGAGGAGGAGGAGGAGGAGGAGGAGGAGTGAGGGGGAAGGGGGAAGGGGGAAGGGGGAGGGAGGAGAAGGATGAACGGGGTTTGGGAAGCAGGGTGGAGGAGAGCAGCGCACACAGCATGCCCGCATTGCGAATGTGGGGCGCAGTTTTAGCGTGAAGTGCACTCGCGTACTTCATGACGGCGGCGCTCGTGCCTCCAGGGCTCACCGAAGTCTCACCTTGGACAGGCGATGCAACGAATGTTTTTCCGTCAGAAGTGCACAGCGTTAGGTGATAGATGCGCCTCCCCATACGGCGGCCCTCAAGAGTCTGCGCGCCAGGCCCGTCTCACTCATAGCCCGAACTATGTGCGACCCCATCGGCTGGCACTGTGCCCGATTCGGGGAAACACGCGGCAGCTATACATCGCCTCTGGCACGCGCTTGACAGCGCTAGTTGGACCGCCAACAGCTGAGCGGCTTCGACCCGCCGCGCAACTTTCGAGAGGAACGTCTCCGCGAAGTCAGCGTCCCAAGCTTCAGGCAACTCGGTCGCAAGGTCATCCGTCGCCTTCTTCACCAGTTATTTGATCTCTTTGTAGGCTTTTCCCGCAGCAGCCTTCACGATGCTCGGGGCTTCTTTGAGGAACGGATCTACGAGGTCACGGTCCAACGAGACTTGCACTGCGCTAGCTTTCTGGATCAGTTTTGTCGAGCACGAGTGGTTGCTTCTCGTGGCCTTGTCTCTGGCGGTCTTCTCGTGCTTCTCTGCTTGGATGCGGTCCTTCTCCTCCTGCTCTGCGTGTTTGGCTTCCGTCTTCTGCTGCTTGGCCGTTTTCTTGGCGTTCAAGCTCGACGAGCTCGAAGAATATTTGCGTTTTTGTGCGGTTCTTCTCAGTGTCTCTTGCTCGATCCCTTCGCCTGCTTTCGCGCCGATGTTCGTGGGGTTCGGGCCCGTGCTACCTCCAGGCGCCAATCAAGATGGCCGCGGGGAGCCACTGCCCTTGGCCTTGGCCACGTCGGTTCTCTTCTGTAAAAGTTGCGCGCGCACAGTCTCGATGATCTTGCCCTTGCACTGATGGTGCATGGAGACTCTGTAGGTCTATCCAACCCTGTTGTGCCACTCTTTCATATTGCTCGGTGTTTTTCGTGATCCTCTCCACGTCGCATCCTTCCTTCTCCCAGTACGACCGGGGCTGGAAACCTCCAGCGTACGCATCCGTCTCCTGGTCAGTGACGGACTTGGCAATGCTCTCCACCACGAGCTTCTCGAGTGCAGCGTCGGAGTCGTTCTCTACAGGAGCACTCCACAAGGCCTCTTGTTCGGACGATGGGAGCCCCTGGAACTCCGAGCAGGGCCAGCTGCCGTACATGCGGATCAACTTCGCGCCCCTTGCTCCGCACGAGAAGCATAGCCATGTGGTCTTCGTCTTCTGGGTCGCCTACAGCGGGTTTACCACCTTACAGCAGCTCATGCACCTGGTGCCCTTCACCAACCCCATGGTGATGTCGGCGAAATCCGATGTTAGCTCAGGCCCGGGTGCCGGTTTGGGGGGCCTTGCGCCACCCGTCTGCGAAGCCTCATCCAAGAGGTCCCCTAGATGCGCTTCGAGCTCCTCCACCGTCGGTTCCGCCTTGACACCACTTGCCACGCGGTCAACTCCACACTGAGGGCTCGGCAATTGGATGCACCTCATCTCCTGGCTCAGGAATCTCGCTGAAGAGCTCGACGGCCGCCGCTCGGGCCTGCATCTTCAGCTTGCTGGTTGCCTCTTTTCTGGCCCCGCGCAGAAGGGGGTAGGGGGAGGGGGGAAGGCTTCTTAGAGGCACCCCTGCTTCTTAGAAGGCGCGGGCCTTCATTGTAGATGTAAGGCCGGCGCCTTCTAAGAAGCAGCCTCCTTCTAAGAAGCCCTCCCCCCTCCCCCTGCCCCCTTGTGCGCGCCGCCAATTTTTGCTGCGTCAGCTCTCGCCCCCTTCTGCGCCGCCCTCTCTGCCGCGGCGGCTCCGTCGGCCTCCCGCTTCCTTCGCCGCGCCGCCGCGAGCCCTGCCGTCGCCGCCGAGGAGCGCAGCCTGCAGACCCAGTCGTGCGCGCGACGCGGAAGGCCGAGGCTGTTCGCGGCGCTGCAGAGCCAGCTGAATATCGGGGGCGGAAAAGAGGGGGGTGATGACTAGGGGGGGGTGGATATCATGGCGGGGACCATGATATTTCCTCAGATTTCATGGCGCCTCTTCTTATTTCATTACTTCACAGGCCCCCCCGCTGGGCCGCGTACATGCCGCCGGTCATGATTTGCACCCCCCCCTCTTGGACACCCCCCTCTTGGCCGCTCCCGACTATGCAGCGGGCGCTCTGGTCTTCGCGGTTCCCTGTTGGGAGACCGCTTGGAGTCGGGCAGTATACATTCGCAACGTTGGCGATGTGAGCGGTTGGAAGACCGCTTCGGGCCGAGCGAGAGGAGGGGCCCCCTAAGCAGACGGAAGGATAGATAGAACGTTGCCCGCGGCCCCTGGCTTCCCTCGGCAGCTTCGTTCCCCAGGCTCCCAAACGCCCTGACACCGCTCAACCCCTTCGGCCCCTCGTTCCCGAAGAGTTCGGATTGACGCCGATTGTTTCAAACCCGTCGCGCCTTCAGCGGACCTGTCGGGGCAGCCGTGCGCGCTGCGGCCCAGCTCAGCGGTGCCACGCGGCGTCGCGCTACTTCGGCGGCATAGGCTTGAAACCGTGTTGCTGGTGAGACTCGTCCAGCTTGCCCTCGCGCTTGACCTTGTAAAGCATCTTGCACCACTCTGTGTAATACTCCTCGTTGCGCCCGCCGCTGTTGCCCCAGCGGCCAGTGCCCTTGCGAAATTCCTGCCCGCGCCACGCATCTCCTGCGCTGGTCGGTGCAGGCCCGCGCTCCTCCCACTTGAGCCCGAGCTCCTCGGCTGCCTCCTGCTCTGCCCTCGGCTCGCTCAGCTCGACGGCACTGACGGCCCGCTTGAGCGAAGCAGGTCGGGATGCCGACGGGCCCGGAGATGAAGCTGAGCCCGCGCGTGTAGCTGGAGGGTGCTTCGCCGCAGGCCCCTCTGGATCTCGCGGTCCGTGGTCACGCCCAGCCTTTTGTTCGATGCTGCCAGAACTCGTCACAGGGGTAATGCTGGCCCCGTGCTGCGCGCTGTCGACCTCGCTCGGAACATCAGGCGTGTCCTGAACTGGCCAGCCAGGATCCTGGTAGTGGACGCCGCCTGGTAGCTCAGCTGCACGGAGCTCCTGAAACACCTCGAAGTTGGCATCCGGATTGGGCAACGGCATCGCCAATGCGTTGCATTGCAGGCGCTGGGTCGCTAGCACA